GGGGATTGTGTTTTTTATTATTCTAGTGTTCCCTTAAGAAAACACTTCCTAACTCAAAGGAAATATTGAGGATGTAGCTCAGTTGTAGAACACTGGACTGGGTCCCCAAATTACAAAAAAAGTAATAATGTTTAAAAAAATTAGCAAGTCTTTAAAAATGCAATCAGCATTCTCTACTGCTTTCCTAATTCTAATCTCTGAAATCCAAATGTATATGTTACTTATGTAATTGTCCAATGGTCTATTTTTCTCCCCAAATCAATTGTCATTACTTCCAACAAACGGATTCAAGGCTGTGCAAGGAATTTCCTTTCAGTGTGTTAGTGACTAACTGGGCTAATGCTGTGTTGCACTGTTGGCTTCAGCAGCTAAAGCACTTTGACTTCTTGTCCTGGTCCTAGCATTTAAACTGAGCCATCTCACTTCTCATTTCTCATCTCAGGAGTTCTCATTTCTCTAAGGCAACTCAGAAAGGCTCTTAAAGAGGTTGGGAATAAAGCTTAGTGCAAGAGTGGTTTATATGGGGAACTGGGTTGAGTGTGTGTGTGTGTGTGTGTGTGTGTGTGTGTGTGTGTGTGTGTATACATATACAAACATAATGTAACATAACATGGCATGTCAGAGAGAGAGCCAGAGAGATCTCCTTTTCCCAGGGTAATTTACAAGGGTATTTCACAGATCACATGTCACCAGTGGCTCATGCCTATAGTTAGAGAACTAGGGAAGCTTGTTCAGGAGGATTGTCACTAGTTCTCAACCAGTCTGAGCTAGAGTGAGAACCTGTCTCAAAAAAACAAAGAGAAAAGGCAAGGGGCTATGTTTTTGAGCCCATGGCTTAGAGTCAGAAACATGAGGGATATGAGAAGCTGCTGCTTAGCTACTACATATTTAGAGCATAGGTGCTAAAGATACTTAAGACTTGTTCTTGAAACTAAGTAACAAGTGAGGACTCCAGGAAAAGTGCTCATCCCACAGATGTGAGGTCTGAGTAAGTACAGGGCCTGGGAGCATGAAGCCATTGGGGGTGGGGTGGAGCAGGGATGGGATCGGATCCCTGGAGCTCAGAGCTGTAGGTTCAGTGAGAGACTCACAAATGGAGGTGGAGAGCCTTGTTGAAGAAGGTATCCACCAGCCTCTGGTCTTCACACACACATGCTATGTGACTGCAGTACCACACACAGAAATCTTTTCTATTTTAAAGAAGTTGGGTTTGCTTGTTTCAAGATATTTTTCTTCCCTGCTGAGGAGTTGTGTCCCCTTCCCTGTAAAATCTTCAGTGACCCTTCTTCACTTGGTATTGTACTTATGTCTCCTTGCATTGCCAAGCTTGACTTGATGCCTGCTTCCTTTAAAGCCCATGGTGGTTTAAATGAGAATGGCCCCCATAGGCTCCTTCTTGTGTTTGAAGGCGGGGTCCCCATTTAGTGGAACCATTTGGGAAGGATTAGGAAGGGTGACTTTTTGGAGGATATGTGTCACTGTGGGTGGACTCTGAGGTCAGGCCCATTTTCATGCTGTCTCTGCCTGCAGCATGAAGGTCATGGATGAAGCTTCTGAAACTGGAAGCAAGTTCCCAATTAAATGCTTTATTTCAAATGTTGCCTCAGTCATGGTGTCGCCTCATAGGAATAGAAGAGTAACCAAGCCCCTTTTCCTTGAGGCTGCTTCCTCCACCACTGGAGGAAGCCATTGTCCTCTTATTGCATCCAAATATGTTCTCATTTCTCATGATCTTTGGCCTCTCTGAAGAAGGTTGAAAACCACATTCTGTGGGGAAAGGGTAGATACTTAGAAGACATTTGGATACTATATCAGTTAGTTAAAATGGTAGGAGGTTCTTCTCTGGGGTCTGGGACCCCTTCACCCGAGGGTTCTTGGCCAGGTTTACAATACAAGGCATGAGTTTTCTCTTATTTAAATCCAATCATACAACTGTTAGTTACCCCCATAGTTGCCACATTGACCACTGGGTCTGTATTGTCAGGCTGGTCATGATTGTAGTTCTCAAGGTTCACAGTTGGCAGCACTGTGCTACCCTTCTCCACCAGCAGGCTGCATAGTACCCACCTTTCAACACCGTGGAAGGTGGCCACTGGGAAGGAACTTTTCCAGGACAGTATCCGCTGGATTTCTCCAAGTCCTGTGACCAAAGTGCAGTGCCTTTCACAGTAGGATCTCACCTCAAGTTCCAAAAGACAATCAAAGGCTATTATAGTCTATTTTGGGGGGACCCAGGGATCTAACTCAGGTCATCAGACTGCACTGTGTGTGTATGCAGACAGAAAAAGGAGAGCAGAGGCGATGAATTTGAGGAGTGGCAGGAGGGACATGGGAGATGTTGCAAAAAAGAGATGAAACTCTCAAAATTAAATAACTAAAAGGAAAAGGCTGGCTAACGGGAAGGAGCAGGAGCACTTGCTGCCCTTCCAGAGGATGCACGTTTAGTTTCAGGCAGCCACATCAGGAATCTCATAATCACCTGTCCTCCAGCTTCAGGAAATCTGACGCCCTCTTTTGGCCTCTGCAGGCACCCACACACCACATGTAGCAAACACTTACAAATATAAATAAAAAATATCTTTTAAAATAAATAGTTGGGAGATAGTTTTAAAAGTATACAACATCCTTAGCAATCATGGAAATGCAAATTAAAACATCTTACCCCAGTTAGAATGCCATTTATCAGGAAAGCAAATGCTGGCTAAGATGTGAGGGGAAGGGAAGACCTACTCACTATTAGAGCATGTCTTAGGGTTTCTGTTGCTGTGAGGAGACCCTGTGACCACAGCAACTCTTGGAAGGAAACATTTAATTGGGACTGGCTTCCAGTTGAGAGGTTTAGTCCATTATCATGGTGGGAAGCACGGCCACACACAGGCAAACATGGTGCTGGAGAGGTTCTGAGAGTTCCACATCCAGATCAGTAGTCAGCAGGGAAAGAGTGAGACACTGGGCCTGGCTTGAGCGTTTGAGACCTCAAAGGCCACTCGCAATGACGCACTTCTTCCAACAAGGCCACACCTTTTAATAGTGTCACTCCTATGGACCTATTGGGACCATTTTCATTCAAACCACTAGAGAGTACAAACTGATGTAGTCCACAGTGGAAATCAGTAGACCTTAAAAGGTTGAAAGTAGGACTATGATAGGACACAGCTATACCACCTCTGGGCACACACCCAAAGGACTCTGTGTCCTACTACAGAGAGAGTCGCTCAGCCATATTCTCTGCTGCCCTGTTCACAGTAGCCAGTGTCCTGATTGGTTTACTGCCAACTTGACAGAAGTCAGAGTTTTCCAGGAAGAGAACATTCGGTTGAGCTAATGCCTCCATCAGATTGCCTGTATGCAAGTCTGTAGGGCATTTTTTTTGATTACTCATTGATACAGAAGGGTCCAGTCCACTGGGAACCAGGCCACCTCTTAGTAGGTGGCTCAGGGTAGTATAAGAAAGTAAGGTGAGCAAGTCAGTAAGCAGTGTTCTTCCATGGCCTCTGCTTCAGTTCCTGCCATGAGCTCCTACCCTTCCCTTAATAATAGACTACCACTGTAAGCGGAAATAAACCTTTCCCCTCCCAGGTTGTTTTTTGGTCATGGTGTACATCACAGATGTAAAAAAACAAATTCAGACAGCCATGAAATTGACAGTTTCTTTCAAGTTTCTTTTCTCCAGACTCACCAGCTTTCTCTGAACACTGTTCATTCTGCACTCAGGTTCATTCAGCTGGCCAGTGTGGTGTATCGTCCTTATTCATAAAGCCAAAAATTAATAAATTTCATTTCTATAGAAACTTAAAGCAGTTAAACAGGAAGAAAAATGTACATATTGGATATGTGAGCATTCCAGTCAAATACCTATAAAGCACCAGATGGGGTAGGTATAAAAGATGATTGAAGGGCAACAGAGTGTTGAAAATGTTTTATTAGACATTAAGATTTGGTTTTGATTTAAACTTCAATTTAATTAGCATCTAACTAGATGATTTCCATGGGCAAGAAAAATTTGGAGGATCATCTGCAAAAATCAATCAGTATTGAGTTCATTTGCACTAGGATTTCATAACTTTAAAAATCTGTATATCACTTTTTTTTTCTTAAGTAAAATCATGTGGTGCATGATGTTTCAGTGATGGAACTCATACACCAAGGTAATCCCATGAGATTATGGCAGATCTACAACATCCCCAACACCTAGGTACATAGTCATTGTAACATCACAGTGTAATATAGTCAACAACAAGTAGTGAGGCTGGGACAGATGAGCCCACCGCCCTGCCAGACACAGAACTGTATATAGCACATACAACTATGCACAGTACATACTACTTCACGATAGACGACTTGGTGCTCTGTGTATCTATTCCCCCTCTTTGTTTTAGATTATATACTCCTACAGTATAAAAGTATCCAGCAAAACTTACTACCCAACAGTATGCCTTGTCACACCAGCGCCACATATCCATCCGGAGGCCACAAGTAGTGAACAACTACCACCTATTTCCACCTATTGTGTTAGTCCACTGATTTTTGCCTAAGGGTGCATGCATTTCTCAGAATACATCCCAGGCACTAAGCAATGGATGACTGCATTTGATTTGTTTTACCATCTCAACATTTACTTAAGAAAATAGAGTGTTCATGTCTTAGACTAATTGACGTTTATTATCCTGTGGCTTCTTTCAGACCTTTCCTCAAGTTTGGTGGGTTTTTGTTTAGTAGGTTGTTTTGTTTTCTTAGTGATTTTGTTTCGTTGAGACAGGGGCTCATTGTGTGAGTTCTGGCTCACTATGTAGCTCAGGCCACACTCAAACTTAGAATCCCTGCCTTAGGCATCCAAGTAGTGGGATTAACACACTGGCTCCACTTTTTAAAAGAAAGATTTCAGTTCTCTTCTGCCATGTGGGTCCCAGGGCTCTAACGCAGGTCTACAAGCCTGGCGAGGAGCGCCTGTGTCATGCCCTTTCTCGTTGTTAAGATATTTTCTCCTTAAATAATATATGGGCTTATTTCCATGTATTCTCACTAAACATCTTTTTTTTTTTTTTCTCCTGTTAGGTTTTGTTGTTGGTTCTTTTCTTTTTTGAGTGTCCTGCCATGTATCCCAGGCCAACCTTAAACACACAATCCTCCTGCCTCAGCCTCCCACCAAGTACTGGAGTGACGGAGTGACAGGTGAACATCATCAAAATAACCACACTCAATTCTCACAGGACCTTTGGCAGTTGAGATTTTATATAAAAATTTGTATGTTTCTGAGTTTGGGAAACCCTTGAGGAAATCTGCTCTCTCTACATCCTAAATCTTTTCTGCACTGAGCAAAACCAAATGCCTACCCTTCTTAGAGTCAAATGTGTTGCCTACTCAAGCAAGAGTATAAAATTCTAGTAAAAACAGTGTGCTTTATTTGCTTAAGACAATCAACCAGTCTAGGATTCTAGCAAAATAGCATATTCTTTCCTATATTGGTTAAATACAAGAATTGTGTTTTCATCTGTATGGCGAGGTTACCTAGATTGGTACCACCTGGTTATAATTGACCAATTTTATTATTTTATTTATGTATTTACTTGTGAAAGACGGGGGCAGAATCTCTGCTTCAGGCTGGCTTCTTTGAACTCTTGGTAGCCAAGAGTGACCTTGAATTCGGATCCTCTGACCTTCACTTCCCAAGCAAACTGGGATTACAAGCATGAGTCACCACAGATGGAACCCCGGCTTCCTGCAGGCAAGGCAAGCACTCTACCAACTGGTTTACATCCACAGTCCTTCCTTAGAACTTCATTGTGCTAATAGTGGCCCAGTTCATTACAAGTTATAGATATTATTTTATATGAAGTTTGTAGGTTGTTTGCATATAATAAAGATGAAAGATGGGTAGGTAAAATTTAATGTATGCATTTGACTTACATTGTGTCAGTGATTACACAATGAAAATAAAGATGAACCATGTTACCTAGAGAAACAGTGTCTGTTTTGTCCCTATTGCATTTATAATTTGTGGGAAAACAATTGAAGGTTTCCACTTTTGCAGTAGCTGAAGGGGATGTTACACATGTCCTTTAGGTGTGAGGAAAGCAAGAAGGTACAAAAAGTGCCATAATTGTAATTTAGTTAACATTTTAAAGATTGGGGGACTTACTGCATCTTATATTGTAGACAGAGAACCATGTCTTTGCTAGCTTTTCCTCTCACAACAGAGTGATTGTTGAAACTTGTTTTATGTTTTAAAGTAAAATCCTCAAATGATGTTTAAATACTTCAAAGTCTTTTGGTCTTATATGGAAAATAAAATACAGTCTTTAATTCTGAGGATTGAAAATAGAGGACAAATTACTATAGGAAACTACACTGGAATCGTAGATAGGTGTATAGTTGAGTATTTCGGATGGGATTTGCTTATAATATACACAAAATATAATTTCATACATTTTTTTTCTCATTGCAGATGATTTTGAGGGAAGGATCCAATTGTGCGATCTGGATGATTTTTCTTTTTAGTAAAGGAGTGTGATAGTTTTGATTCTGTTCTTTGATTATAGATGTGAGGAATATTCCCACACTCTGCAAAAAGTGTACCATGATGAACATCAAGGAGAAATTGGTAGTTTATGCTGGCTTAAGTGAATGGTTAGAAATGAATACAGAAGTCTAAGGTTGTCAGTCGGGCAAGCTTTTTTTTAAGCCATTTCCTTTCATTCAAGATGTTGGACTGGGAACATAACTATTTATTTATTTACTATAACATTATTTAATGGTTTTACAAGGAAAACTGCTAGAGAGAAGATTCATATATCAAGTAGAAAGGTCAGTAAGTCTGAAACACCTGTTATTAAGGTCTGTGTTGCAAGAATTCAGGAGGGCAGGAATGCACTTTCCTGACAGGACTACGTTGACTTCTGAAGGCTCATAGGCAGCCTTTAAAAGTGTTCTCTCCATTCATCTGCCCCAGCTGTAACTGCTCTGTCTGGACTCGTGTTTGTTCCCTTTCCTCCTCACCCTTTCTATCAATTCCTGCCCTTTAACCCAGGAACCAGATGATTTACATTCTTAGAACAGTGCTCTAGGTATCTCACTACAGTGCTTAAAGTTAGTGATTTGCTAAGGTAAAGAGATTGTTTTATTTGGGAGGATCATGAGTTGGAGGCCAGCATAGCCACATAGCCAATCGAAGCCACCCTGAACAAAAAGAAAAGGATTATTTTTTCATTTACTTATGATGATTTTTAAAAAGTGGTTCCATGAGTAAAACAGACAAATTCTCCGATATAAGCACTGCTGACATGACTGAGCGGCTGCGAGAAAGCAACTTTTTAATAAAAATGACCTGAAGTCTCTGCAAGACTAGAAAAAAACATGTTGAGTGTAGGTTAAAATGTGATTATTAAGATGACTTATTTATTTGTAGTTGTAGATAAAGTAAACCCAAAAATCTAGACTAAAAAAAAGAACTATGCATTATTAAAAGTGGTGGTAATAAAAAATGTATTGGCAGTGGTGGAGAATCCCACAAGTCGTCAAGATTGACATAGCCTTTAATAACTTGGAAAATGTCCATTAGAACTGCCAGCTCTCGGTTCAGACTTATGTCACAGCCTTCTGTGATGCCATGGGTAGTACGGCTAGATGAGGCATTTAAGAGAATTCTTTCAGGCAAGAATTTGTACAAGTTTAGGAATCTTTGGTGTTCCTACTAAGGATAGGTACAGTGTCTTTCTGATAATCTCAGACTCGTTTATCCACAAGATGTGGTTCAGTTACAAGGCTCCAAAGAACCCTGAGCCTGTAAAGGTCTGACTCAGGTCAGAGTAAGCAGGGTTGAAAAGCGAACTTTTCCAAGTCCATTGCTCCTGTCACCTTGACTAAGATATGGCACGTAGAGCTTATGATGTCACCTGCTGAACCTCTTCTGAGCAGAGCTGCAGCACATTAAGCTTTGAGAAGTAACCCTCTGATGTTTAAGTAGTAAAAGGCAGAAGTACGGAAGATATGAGAAAACTGATGCCATGTGTAAAAGGTACCTTACTAACAGTGTTACATGATCCTGGATGGCGCTGATTAGAACAGGGTACAAGGAATGTTTTAAAGATCCATGAAACAATCATGTGCCAGTAAGATGGCATTAAGCTGCACCACGACAAAAGTTATACATATTGTATGTTAACATACACTGAAAAGAAGTGACAGGATTCTCAATATGTTTTAGAAAAGTGTTCTTTTTTTTTTTCTAGTATTTATCACAAGTTTAGACCTGTAAAAACAATACAGGGAAGCATTGAGCACGGAGGATGTTCATGCCCCATATCCAATGTCAAGCTCTCCTTCAGTCTCCTGTTGATGCGGTCTGACCGAGTGCTGGCTTTTCAAATTGTGCCGATCCTGTGATGAGGCACCTGAAGAGTCTGAAGGTTAGGGCATGTGAAATATGGAGCCGGAAGGAAGCATGCTGCTATTCCGTTCGAAGCAAAGGGAAGTGTAGGTCCATAGAACACCTCTTCTTTGCCTTCTCTGCTTACATCCAGTACCTACACCAAAAGAGGGGAAGGATTACTCAAAAGTGCATATGCATGAAAGAGCACCTTAGCCATTACTGTTTTTCTCTCTGGGTATATTAGTTACCTTTTTGTCTCTGTAATAAAATATGACCAAGAACAGTCATGACCAATTTGCCACACAGACTTGCCTACAAAACAATCTTATGGAGGTAATTTTGCATTGTGGTTCCTCTTCTAAGATATTTTTAGTTTATGTCAATTTGACAGGGAAAACAAAAACAAAATAGAACTGACCCTTTTTCAACTTGACATAAAAACATATCACTATTCAACTATAATACTTCCTTGTTCATCCACGAGATCTCATATTAATACCAATATCTCAATAAAAAACACATTCCAAACTTTTAGAGTCCCACAGTCTTTAAAAATTCACACTTTAAAAGTTCAGTTTCTAGGTAACAAGGAGAGTTCATGGGGGGACACCCAGATCTCCCTGGGAAGGGGAAACAGAAGAGATTTTGTGAGTGGACTGAGGGCAGGTGGGGATGGGAACATGGAAATAAGACGGTTGGTTACATCTACATGATCAGGTTGGGGTGGGGCACGGAGAAGAGTGATGAGGGGGACTGCTGGGGAGAAGCCTGGCACAGGGGAATCTCCCTGAAGTCTATGAGGAGGGCCCAGCTTAGACTCCTAGCAATAGTGGGCAAGTAGCCTGAAACTGGCCGTCTCATCTCCTGTGACCGGATTGGTGCCTGGCCCAGTTATCATCTGGGAAGCATCATGCAGCAGCTGATGGAGGCAGATGCAGAGACCCACAGCCAAACAGTAGGTGGGGTTCAGGAATCCTGTGGAGGAGGAGGAGAAAGGAATGTAGGAGCCAGAGGGTCAAGGACACCATGGGAAGGCTCACACATTCAACTAACCTGGGCTCATAGGGGCTTGCAGAGACTGACCTGACAATCAGGGAGCCTCCATGGGACTGACCTAGGCATTCTACATATATGTTACAGTTGTGTAGGTTGGTCCTCTTATGGAACTCCTAACAGCAGGGTGTCTCTGACTCCTTTACTAGCTTTTGGGACCCTACTTTTCATACTGGGTCGCCTTGCCCAGTCTTAATACATGGGGAGATGCTCAGTCTTACTGCAATTTGATATGCCATGATTTATTGATACTAATAGGAGACCTGCCCTTTCCTGGATTGGGGGTTGGGTGAATGGGGGAGAAGGACTGGGAGGCAACTGTGCCCAGGATGTAAAATAAATAAATGAATTTTAAAAAACTCACAGTTCAAAACCTCCTTAAAATACCCAAAGCTTCTAAACGGGGCTCCTGTAAAATCAGAACACAACTTGGACACTTTCTTACTCCAAGGGAAGCACCAGGGCACAGTCACATTCAAATCATAGCAGAACCCAAGTCCAGCAATGTAAACAGCTTAATGTCTGACATCTGGGACTCGAAATCTTCTGGGCTGTGGCTCCATTTCTCTAACTCTGATGTTTGCAGCACACACAGCTTGTCTCCTAGGCTCAGGCTGGCTCCACCCTACAGCTGCTGCTGCTCTCAGCAGTCATCTCATGGTACCAGTATCTCCAAAATGCTGGAATCTCCACTGTAACTGGACTGCACCTTCACCAGGAGCCCCTTCTGTGCTCCCTTAAGGGACTCGGACTCTGCCACATGGTGTCAGGTTTTGCTGTTATCAGCTATTCCTCCAGTCCTGGAGCTTCTGCAACTGAGGCCGAAGCTTCACCAATGTCCTCCTATCCTGTCCTCTCACGGTAAAACCTCACCTCCTCTCAATGACCCTTTCATGCCTTCAATGCCAGTACCACCTGAGAAACATTTATACATTACCAAATTCAGCTGCCAGTATGAGATATAGCCTGCCTCCGAAGCATAGCTGCTGACTTTGAGAAAACACTTCTTGGAAGATTTCACCTTTGTGGTGCTGATGCTGGCCTCTTCTTTAGTCAGCACTAATTTCTCAGCTCCAGCTAACTAGGATCAATTGTTCCCAAAGAGCAAAGGTTCACTTTACTGGTTCTGGTCTTTTGTTAATCTTCAACCCCAGCTAACCAGAACAATGGTTAATTCTTAATTCAAAATATTTAATGACTTGATAAGGTCTTTTAGGGACTCTCAAACTTCCCTCTGAAACTTCCCAAGCCAGGCCTCCATCAGGTTTCTCTTCTTACCTCCCATAACAGATCTCTAAGCTCTGAATAGTCAATGCCTTTTCCAGCCCAAAGTTTAAATACCACATTTCTCCTGAAAACATGTCATCAGGTCTGTCACAGCAATACCCCCTACACTAGTCCTGATCTCTGTCTTAGGGTTTCTCTAGGTGTGATAAAACACTATGCCCAAAAGCAATCTGGGGAGGAAAGGGTTGATTTCAGCTTACAACTCCTAGGTCACACTGCATCACTAAGTGAAGTCAGGCTAGGAACCTGGAAGCGGGAAATGAGCAGAAGGTGTGGAGGAATGCTGCTTGCTGGTTGGCTTGCTCCTATGGCTTGCTCAGCCTGCTTATGTACTCCAGGACCACTAGCCCAGGGGTGGCACCACCCTGAATGGCCTGGGCCCTCCCACATCAATCACTAATTAAGAAAATGCTTGATGGGCTAGCCTACAGGCCTGCCTTATGGAGGCATTTTCTCAGTGGAGGTTCCCTCTTCTCAGATAACTCTAGCTTGTGTCAAGTTGACAAGATGAAATACCTTCTCATACCTCTTCTGTCTCAACTCCTTGGGTTCTTTCCCCCACCCGCCAGAATATCAACTTACCTCTGTGTCTAAGACAATTGATCATATGAAAATATGAACTCCTTCCCAATAACCAAACCATGATTGTTCTCCTTTTTGTTCTGCTTCAGTGTCCTTGTTGGTTTCAACTGCTCATCCTAAGGGATCTCCTCACCTACTTCCTCTCCTTGAAGGCTTGGATATTTTTTTCTGTCATCAATATAGACATAGCCAGTATGCCCTCTTCCGGTCTGTTTCCAACCTCTTTTTCAGATAGCCTAGTTGAAAATAGCTATCCATTGCCTAGCAGTTCCCTCCAGGGTTAAAACCCTCCATCTTGCAAGGAAACTTTTTAAGACACAGAATGTAAAAGGGAAGAAAAACAACAGGATATTTTAGGACAGGATGTATGCATGGAGGTGAGACAATGGGGTGTTCTAAAAGGAAGTGAAACACTTCCATCCTGAAAGGAAGCTCCTTAAAACAGGAAGTAAACAACTCCAAATGGCTTCAGGAAGTCCCTGAAACTGACCTGATTCATTAATCCTCTCCTTCCCCAAAATGTATAGAAACAATAAAGACTGATGAGAGTCCCTCTTGGCCAGGTTAGGCTTCCCAGATACTCACACAAGCTGAGCATCAAGGAGAGACTCAGCCCCAGCAGCCAGAAAGAAAGAAAGAGAGACCAACTGCCTGGCCGAGTCTCAGGCCACCTGAGGCACTCTGAAAGGACACTATCCAACCTGTTGAGGTACTGGAAGGCTGTGTGGTGAGCACCAGGTTCCCAGCTTTTGGGAACTATCACCCATGCTGGGGTGGGCTTAGGTGACACAGTTGTCTTTGAGTCATTTCTGCTCCTATAAGTAACCCCTCACCCACATTCCCGAAACTCCAATAAAACTTGCTGGTTCACCAAATTGAACTTGGGTGTTATCCAAACTTTGGTCTGTCATTAGTTCCCTGTGTGGAGTGAGTAAACATTTGCTCACATCTCCTTGGGAATAGTATCACACAACAATTACAGTCCTCTTAAACCAAATAGACTTATGTGTAGGTGTTCTCTAAAACTGCGGAGTTCTGAGCCTCCTTATTACCAAGAAAGGAGGAGCTTCTCTTCCTCCAGGAAGAGTGCTACTTCTATACGAACCAGTCTGGAGTGGTGGGAAATGCAGACAACCCCCCCCCCGCCCCCACCCAGCCTTAGCATCTGAGCTCTGCTGACATTCCAACTCTAGGGGACAGTACCCAGCTGGGGATGCTGGCTACCCTGGCTGGCTCGTCCCTCGTCCTGGTAGTCTTTGGGCCCTGCCTTCTTAGTTTCCAAGCCTATTTTGTATCTGAGAAACTGAATTCTTTTATTAAGGTCATCACCAAAAGGCATGTCAACAGCATCCTCCAAAATTTCTAGCAACAAGTTACAAGAGCAACGACTGTGCCTATCTCAGAAATGTTGACAAGAGCCATGTCGTTTTGGGAGGCTCTCCCATTTGGATTAAACAATGACAATTCATGAAGTAAAAGAATTTGTTTAGATTCTAGCGCTCCCTGGCCTATGGATTCTCCAGAAATAGAGGCTATCACAGATGTATTGGTTACCTACTCTCTTTATGCCATCTCCCTAACATTGGCCAACCTCAGGCTGAACATGAAAACATTTCAGTCCTCCTCTCCTTTTCCTTTTGGGCCCCACAACTAGCTCAGCCCGGAAGTGGATTCCTGGCTCTGGTTCTTGCCCTAGAGCCCCCTCTGCAGGCCTTTTCCTGAATAATGCCTGTGCTGTTCTGGAATCACTCCTTCCCTTTGTGGTTCCTTGCCAACCATTTATCAAAACCATACAAAGGTTAAGTACTGCCTTCAATTTACAAAGAAAAACAAAAATTAAGTGACCTTCTCAAGGTAACTTGGCCGTAAATGGTGGACCTAGCCATTATTTTAATCCAAGGAGGTAGCCCAGAAGAGCAAGGACAATAATTATTGCCTTCCCCGCTAAAGAATACATTTATAGAAGTCAAAATAACAGTGAGGTAATCACCCTGAGAGCTTTTGTGTGGTTCCCTGGGCCAACAGCGACTGCATATGTTAGGCAGATGTAATGTATTTAATCTGGGAAGGAAAAAGAAAGCTTTTGGCAGATTTTCTCCAAAACACTCCCCTGTAAACTGGCAGGAAGAAGACGTGTGGGAAACAGCCGTGCCAGATTGGCAGCATATCCTCCAGCCAAGAGGAAGTGATAGGAAAGGAGAACAACAGTAGAATAATCTGGAAACAGACGAATCACCTGCACACTCACAGCTGCCCATATGTACTAGTCACCCCAGGCACACCAGATTAGAGTCAGGCTACATGCCAGACATCCACCTTCATGCCCACAAAATTAATAAGAGTGCCTTCATTTTTGTTTTGTTTTGTTTTGCAGGATCTATACCCAGTAATTGTATTACTAGTGGTTCTAAACCTTCATATTTAGACAAATATTAATGTAAGAGCTTCTCAGCTTTCCTCAGTCTGTGCTGTCCTTACAGTGAATGGAGCAGCATATGCTAACTTGGTAGTAGTTGAAATGGCTTCTCGTGTGTCACCCCAGGTAGCTGACCCCACAAATGACTGTTAAATGAACCTGGATTAGAGGCCAGAGGATCAGTCTGTTGAGATAAGAGTATTGGCTGGTATTTTCAAAGGGAAAAAAAATTAGTCCTGGGTATTAATGAGAGAATCTCTGAACCATTTAACTATGGTCTTCATTAATCAGCCCAGCTATTAGACTACTGGTTTCTAAGTTAATCTTGGATTATGAATCATTGTGGTTTGTGACAAAAATTTAAGCTTTGATAGTTTTAGTGTATGTGACTCTCACCACCACTCTGTAATTTTCCACATGTTCTATAATTAGAAACTTATACTGTCTAACCAACATTTTCTTGTGGTCACCATTCCCAAATTCTATGGCCTTGCTTTTCTACTGGTTATTCTCCCAGCAGGTACTAATCATGCTAGGGAAGTGGCCTGCTTTTAAACACTTAGCTGCTCTCTCCAGCCATTAATATGTCCTGTTGGTACATGAAAATAAACAGATCTGCAGTCAACAACAAAGCAAAAATTTGTGAGCCTTAGTTAAGAGGAAAAGATACCCAGCAGTTAATTGCCAATAGCTGGAATGCACGATGCATGATCTAGAAGGCAATATTGTTGGGGTTCAAGAGATGGCTCAGAGGTTTAGAGTGCACACTGCTGTTACAGAGGAGCAGAGTTCAGTTCCCAGCACCCATGACGGGGAACTCATAACTATTTCTAATTCCAGCTTCAGGTTAATCCAACACCTCTAGCTTCTGTAAACACATGCACTCACATGCTCAGAGGCACATACATACATACATACATACATACACATCATTTAAAAATGAATCTTTAAAAATGCTATTATCCATGAAAATTTGCTTTACAAATGTCTCTCTAAGTGATAAGCTATATGCTGATGTGGGCACATCTATTAATTGTAAGGGTTCTTATAAATGTCTATTGGTCTAGAGACATGGCTCCATGGATAAAGGGCTTGGCCTGAAAGCATGAAGATCAAAGTTCAGATCCCCAGAACCCATGTAAAAATCAGACTGGTATAGTGGTCAATTCTAATTCCAGCACTTGGGAGGCAGAGACAGGACCTGCCCATGAGCTGGGTTGCTAGCTGGAGTAGTCCTAACTAGAATTTCAAGTTCAGTGAGAGATCTTGTCTCCATAAATAAAGTCAAATACAATGGAGGAAGATACCGGCAAGCAACTACAGGGCTCCATATGCAAGTATACCCATACACACATGTGCCCTACACACAGGCGAGCATGGGTACTGATGCACATCCCCACCACACAGGCACACAGCAATGTCAAAAGTGAAAGCAGGACTGGTGAGATGCTTTAGTGGTGCCAATGCTTGCTGCCAAGCCAGATGACTTGCGTCTGCATGGTCAAAGAGGATCAACTCTGCAGGTCATCTGACCTCCACATGGATACCATGGCTGGCAAGTGAACGTGCCTCGAACATACATACATAAATGTAAAAAAGTATTAAAGAAAGAGAAAACTTTTTCTCAAGTTTTTCTAGACTTTGTAAATAAGAGTGCTAGCCACAGGGATAGACAAAGTTGCCCAGACACTAGATTCTGTTCATCAGTATGGCTACTGAAATACAGAATTACCTTTTTTTTTTTTAAGAAATATACTGATATATTTTATTATGTGATCTTAAAGGTAAAATTCATTCCATTTACACAAGCACTTATTAAAACTTCAAAAATCTGTGTTTTTTTTTTTTTTTGGTATTACCTTAATACTGAGGAAACTCTGGAATATCATGTCCTCAGTGGTTTAAAATATACTTGCACACCTGCGTTTCTTGAATAAAATTTGTGCTGGAATAACCAGACATTACTAATAATGAATCAGTGGACAAGCAGGATGGAGAGATGGCTTCATGTTGATGTCAAGAGCACTTGCTGCTCTTGTGGAAGACCCAGGTTTGATTCCCAGGGGAATCTGATGCTCTCTTCTGGCTTCTGTTGGAACTGCATGCATGTGGTACCCAGACATACATGCAGGCAAAACACTCATGCACACAAATAAATAATTAAAAAGTTTTGAAAAGTTTAGTGTACAAGGTTAGTGAGCCACTGAATATTTGGAGATAAAACAAATTATATCACTATGAATTGGCTTTTGGTTTGGTTTGTTTTTAGAATGTTCTGTCTTACACATTAACTTGCCAAAATAGGAGACTTGAAAAAGTTTTGAGGTGTGACCACATTGTGCTCTCCTAAAGTTGACATGTTGGAAGATTTTCTTGTTTTTCTCTTAGAGTATTAATTTACCTCTTGTTCAAAGAGCCAATCCAGCATTAATATTAGTAGAAATATAATCATGTCTTGACTTTCGCAACTTAATGAAAATGCAAACCTAATTCCACTGTAGAAATGATCTAATGACATTTCGTGGGCCACTTACAACACAGTATTCTGGCACCACGGAACACTCCTGCCCAATCCAATGTCTTCGCAGTTCTGAACAGTGCGAAGGAAGACCCAAAGGACTGAACACTGCAAAACACATGCTTGGGTGAAGCCAAGCCCCACCTCGGGAGAGAACGGTGCTCGTGTGTTAGAGCCAGCTGCTGCCTATGCTCACATTTGTCTATGGTGTTACTGTTTCCTCGTGACCACCTTGCTCCTGTTTTTATTATCTTCTACTTTGAGTTTATTTCTAAGTTCATTTTCTAGCTTGTTAAGCTACATTTGTCCCACATTTTGCTGCATATTGCTTTTATTATTACAAAGTCCTAAGGTTCTTTGTTTCATTATGACTTTCAACTCAGTTTTCTGGCAGTGTGCTTTATGATTTCCAGCTATGGAGAGGTTTAATTTTGCATTTTGTTAAGCTCAAATTTACCTGCATTGTATTAGCAATACATAAGACAATTTTTTTTTAGATCTCTCCGCTTAGCTTTATGTAAAGCATGACTGAGTTTTATGAACGTTTCCCTGTGTGCTAAGAAAAATGAGTTCTAGCTATTCACTGTAAAACTCAGGTCTATTCAACCAAAGATGGCAATCACACTTTCCATATCTACTGGGTCTCTGAGAGTAACAGAAATACATAAGATCCTCAGGAAAACCTGTGGTGAGACAAACCACAAGGAGAAAAGATAAACAATAGCATGAAAATAAAGGAGAACTATAACTAACATAATACAGCAAGTAGACACAAGCAGACAAGATGGAGAAGCTCCTTAATAAGTACATACTGTCGTATGTGATACATGGGGATATCCCATAGGAGATATGACTGAAAGGAAAAAGTTGGAATTGTCAGGTGTGGTGGTGCATACCTTTAATCCTAGCACTCTGGCGGCAGACTGCCAGATCTCTAGAGTTTGAGGCCACCCTGGTCTACATAATGACTTTTAGGCAAGCCAGGGCTGTATAGTGAGGCTGTATACTATCTCAAAATAATAGTAATAGTAGTGATGATGATGATGATGATGATGATGATACTAGAATCATTCTGCAACCATTAAAAATATTAAAACAATTTTCAAAAGTCTTCCCACAATGATTAGGTTTAAAAATATGAGTTATTATAAGGATATGTTAGATAAGTCAGGGCTAAGACACATCAAGATTTTACCAGAGAACATGTGAAAAAGAAAATGGGTAAGAATTACAAAAAGCACTAGAAACTACATGTAACAACAAAGTATGCGTTTCTGCTTTGAGGGACTCAGCTGGCACCCTGCCAAGGCAAGCTTGCCTGGTTCACTTGTGAAATGCTAGGGCTGTTCTTTGGGGCAGAAGCTGTGCTATCATGGACTACCCATAAACCACTATTGCTAGGGACCTCTGCCAGGGAGGAAGACTGCCTGTGCAGGTGACAATTATGAAAATGAAGAAAATGTAATATACAAAATGCACGAAGATGGGGTATCTTTAAACTGGTTGGAGCACAAAGTACTATTGCCAAAGTTTCTTTCCTTTTTAAGTATCAAAAAAGGGGGTGAGCTATCCAACGTTCTCCATTTCTAGTATATTTTATAGATATTTTAAAGTTTGTCCCCATCATAATTTTTTAAAAGGTCTCAATCATTTAGTAGGCATCATTTCTAGGATAGGAGATACAGGCTGCAGTGGCTATACAAAGAAAGGGACCTTGAGCCTCTTCCTGCACATTAAATATCTCCTTCTGCAGCTGAATTGCAAAACATAACCTCGCTGAACCACTTGCACAAACTTCAAAGGGAACTTCAACCACTCACCTGGATACAAGCCAGAGGCTCATTTGTCCAAATTGAATATCCACCAACTAAATATATTCTCCCATTATGGACAGCAACTCCAGATTCATTCTGGCCTAAAGTAAAGAGAATTGAATAAAAAGAAAAAAAATTCCATTTCTTACATGCTTTAATTAACCCTTTTGCCACCGAGGGATACAATTTCCCCCTGTGGCATGTTTGTATACTCCCCAGGAATCTTGAAGCAATTAATCACTGTCTCCAGAACTACAATGAATTAGCCAGTACTTCTCAAAGAGTGAATCTGTGTCGAGTTAGGACCAGGCCAAAATATCTATTAACCAAACCTTACTAACTGTAGCACTCCATAGAGTAATAGTAAGTTACGTAGAACCAATAATTCCATATTATTCTGGATGTCATTAGTTTATGGTGGTGGAAACAAAGGATATTTTAGATGTGTAAGAAATCCATTGTGCTCCATGTAGCATTTGTGCCAACAAATTTAGACATGTGCTTGCCTTTATAAAGTGACAAGTGCAACCCCAAGGCATAATAACAGCCCCACCCCCACCCGATGCCTCACATGAAGACAAATGGCCAACAAGGCAGATGAAGGTGCGACCCTTCTTCCTTTACATCGTCACCAGTTCTAAGATTATATTAATGTTCCCAAGCTGAGACCAGTCTGCATCATCCCTAGATACTGACATGACAAAATGATGAAAGGATTCCCCTCCCATTTCAAAAGAGAAGACAGAAGAACTCACTAGCACACATTCTTCCCCGCAGGCAATCAGAGAGTGAAAGTCTCTTTTTATTGATGAGCTGACACAGGATTGACTGGAGTAATAAATAAGTTGGAGGCAGAATCCCAGATCCAGGGATCTAGGATCTAAGACGCCACTCTACCTGAGAGATCAGAACTTACAAGAGGCCTAAAAATCATTTCGCTGAAAGAGGAGCTTGATATGAAGCATCCAAATTTGTGTTCCCAGTGCGGCCTCCCAATAGCCTCTGTGAGTGACTGAATGCTCACTCTGCATTTAAAATGTTTTCAAGAACTGCTCGAACCCACCATTTACAGTTGGTGATTTTCCTGACTTAAAGCAGCCCTGCAAGGATCCTACCATTGGTGGCTGTTAATCACAGGAACTGATAAGAGGACGGAGTTGTCAGCTCCATCTAGGACATCAGGGTAAGCGCATTATTACTACGTTCACTCCACCCCTTTGTGTGATGAGTAGGATCCACATGTCTGATTGCTCTTCAGAGATGTATAGGTAGGGATACATGGCCAGAAAGGCTCAAATGTACAAAGCTCGAAAGTCTCATTTCCAGACTACACACAGAAATAATACACGGCAGTGACAAAAATTGAAGGCCACCATTTTCCTAAACTCCCAAGAGATAAAAGAGGATGAGGCAGTGAGAAGTTGAACTTCTTGGGGCTGGGGATGTGGCTTAGTTGGTAGAGTGCTTGCCTAGCATGCACTTGGGTTCAATTCCCCGCAGTATGTACAATTAGACATGGTAGAACACAGATGTAACCCCAGTAAAAATGGAGGAGGAGAGAAGAGGATCAGAAGGTCTTTGAAGCCATTCTGATGTGCATGAGATCATGATTTTTTTAAAAGAGGAAAAAGTAATTATCAACTCTTTGAGTGCCTTTTTCCTCCTACACATATCAAAGTTTTCACATGAATATCCATTGAGAAAAGCAAGTTGATATGCTTCTCTTTGCCATTTGAGAATGTACACAAAGGCAAAATAGAAACTAGATTCCCAGCCACCTGAAGGAGCCCAGTCTCTATCTATAAATCATGCATGTCTTCCTGGATAAAGAAAACAATTTGTATGACCTACTGTTCACATAATATTTGGAGATGTACTCTAGATGTCCAAGAAACAAGTTTGGGGATGTCTTGAATTTCTATTCTAGTTTTTGTTTTAGTCTTTATTTTTAGACATTTAAAAATATTTTTAAATTTTATTTTTATGTGTGGTTTGTCTCTGTGTGTATCTGTGTACTTACTACATGTGTTCCTGATAGCCTTGGAGGCCAAAAAGGGGCTTAAGATCTCCTGGGACTGGAATTACAAACAGTTGTGAGCTCTTCTCAGGGTGCTGGGTATCTAACCCGGGGCCTACAGAAGAGCAACCAGTACTCGTAACTACTTGGTCATCTCTCCAGTCCCTATTTTTTTTAAATTGCTTAACCAAAGATACTTGCCGGTTAACAAGTTGAAATTACAGCGTGTCCACTGGTCAGTGTCAATGTTGTAAGAATCTATATGGCGCACAAGAATCCGGTCATTATTGTAGTCTAGGTCATTGCCTCCAAGAACATAAAGTTTTCTCTGGACAGCAGCCATGGAGTGGTAGACCCGTCTCTGTAGCATGGGGCTGCGGCTTATCCACTTATTCTGAAAAAAAAAAAAAAAAGAATCAGGCACAGCAGCGGTTTAAAAAGACCCCACAGATCGCAAAGGCACTGGTGCCTCACTAGCAATAAGAACACTAATGTTGACTTGCATCTTATTGGCATATTATTTATGTATTGAAAGGTATGGGTTTTGTACATGAAAACAAGAAAGAACTATATAATCCTGGCTTGTGGCCTACATTTTAAAAAGAAAATTCAGGAGGTTTGCATTTTATAGGGCATTTTGCATTTTATAATGCAACTTTAAAATTTCATGATGCTTAGCTCATGGAAATTACTTAGGTTTAAGCACATGGCGAGTACAGTGTAGAACATACTGTAATAATCAAAGCAGTCTAGATTGAAACTATGCAATCTGTAATATTGTGCAGTCTTAAGCAATCCACTGACCCCACCCCCTCTCCCCTGTGCTCATCTCCTCATCTACACAATGGGGATAATAAAACCTGCATGACATCCAGTTATGGTGTAGAAAATGCCTCACATGTAATAAATGTCTAGTACATGTTCACTGTTTTAACAATACAGCATTTGAGGACATGTATGGTGTTACATGCCTTTAATTCCAGCACTCAGGAGGCAGAGGCAGGTGGATCTCTGTGAGTTCAAAGCCAACCTGGTCTACATACTGAAGTTCAGGCCAGACAGAGCTACATAGTAAGATCGTGTCTCAATAAAGGGGCAGGTGTATATAAACATCGAGGAAACAAGGCCCCAGGGAAGTTAGGGTAAAGGTAACTTTCCTGTTCTTTCCAAAATTAACCTGAGACCAGAGGACAAGCTAAGATTTACAAGCTTACTGTTTCCTTTGTATCTGAATCTTCCCACACTTTAACACATATGAAATTATGTCTTTTGCCAACTAGGATAGCGTTAGGTCTAGAGATATTTATTTATATTGGCAGAAGGCCAAGCTTTATATGACAATGTTAAGGAATGGAGAAGTCTTTAATATTTGACTCTAGATTATCCTCAATAATAATAATTGTAAGATCAGCCATCTTAACATATGATTCCTATTTAAAATGCAATACAAATTTTAAAATCTGAGAATCAACCATGGCTTTGGATTTACATTTCAACTAACCAATTGACAGACAAGAAAACTGAATGATAGATCAGTAAATAAACCTAACCACTTCCTTCTTCATAGACACTCAACATATAGGAAGAACCTCATTTCCTTTTTGCCAAGACAAAATTGGAATTGAACCAGAAAAATCATATGATGTTTTGCATGCACAGAATTTCACCAGTTCACAAAGCTGTAAGAAAAAAAGCAATCTACAGCATAAACATGCTTGTATAAACATTGGCATATATACTATATACTATAGGCACTTATATACTATACACTATACACTATAGGCACATACACTGTGGCATCTATTCACTATAGGCACACACACTGTGGCATCTATTCACTATAGGCATACATCCTATGGCACTTATTTGTTATAGGCATGTATTTGCTCATTTCTAATTTCTTGTGGTATACTGCAGAAAAAAAGAAGTTGTTTAGTTTGAGAGGCTTATACTGTCTGGTCCCTCTGAACACAGAATCTCCCCAATCCAACACAGTCTTTAATAAAAAGTCAAAGCTAGATTTCAGACATTTTGCTAAGAAATATCTTTAATGCATTATGCTTGAGTGAATTTTAAAATTCTGACGATGCTTATCTTGGGTGCTCTCTATGCGATAACCTATTACAGTATTAGGAATCAGTGTTTGCATTAGCAGTCCAGTCCCCTGCCACAAGACTGTAGATGCCATCTGGTTTGCAAAGCCTGCCTACATCCCCTGATTATATCTTTAGCTTCCTTCACGGCAATGCCTGCCAGGTGAGCCGCCACCCGCTGCAAAGGCAAAGAAGCAGAGAGGCCTGGTGGGGTCATTCCTAATAAGCTAGCGTGTGAATACTAATCAGTAGTGGGAAGCAGAGGTCACCCCAGCCTGCCTGTTGGCAGGTAGCGATGTGCTCTGTGGCAGATGGCAGGCATTATCGACTCTCCACAAAGGCCTAGAAGAGAAATCAGCACCAGGGCTGAATGATAGAGTTATTGAGATTCTGAGCAAGATGCAAGCAGATGTGATGTTTGCCAGTACCCACCGTAAACAATATGCCAGCAGAATTTTTAAAAAAGAGCATGTGTGTACAAACACGAAACCGAACTCATTTAAGCAATGCTAATGCCGTCTTCCTCCTTAACCATGTGTGCACCAAACTCAGGCTTCTGCAATTAGTGGTCCCTCGTGAGACAGCTGACCCATGAACGTTCATTCTCTGCAATTTACGACTTTTAATAGTATCAGGAGACATACTTGTGAAAAGAGAAATGCCCTCCTCAGTCAAGTCATTATGAAAAATCCAGCAGGAACACTGGGGGCGCTATGCACACACTTGTAGGACCTTATCAGACTCAGCCTGCCAAAGTCAACCTGGGGTTTCGTATCCAAATATTGCTAACTGGTTGATATTAAACCTCCACGTCGCACCATTTTGGAATACTGTCACAATCAAGAAATATTTAGATATCCAAGACCTGGAAATAGTAAAATTCCTAAGATTTTGCCCATTTGAAGATACTTTAATAGAAGGAAAAGAGAATTAAAAACGTCTCATTTTAGGGGAAAAGGGGAATTAAGTGTGCACCAAAAGTACACAGAAAGGACCATCTGTTAGAGGCATACCATTCCCAGACTCTTTCAGACACTTCTGATCTGTACTATTCCAGAACACTGTTGGCTATGGTAAGTCAAATGACAGTATTTGACTTGAGAATAACAAAGTCATCGTGATGTTTCCTGCCCAAAATGGCATCCCTTCCAGAAGGACATAGGTACAAACCAAATCCTCTCTACAGAATGCAAAGCTCTGTGTCGTTATGTGTAGCATGAAACTGCAGGAGCTGAACTTTTGCAATAATAATGAGGAACCAAAAGTATTCCCCTAGATGCTTTCTTTTCCCCATGTAGCTTAAGGTGCATTTGTGTGGCATTCCAATGAATACTTTCCGTGGAAGTCTTTCGTAAATGCATTTTAATTAAGGTAATGACTTCTTATGAAGTTCTTACCTGGTTGGGTTCATACACCATCAGTCTGTTCTGATACTGTGCCGTGTTAGTTACCCCACCTGTAATGGAGTAGCACAGGTTAGACCTTTCCAAAATAAGTAGGAGCTACAATTAAAGGACAATCAGCTACTATTGTGCATCTTTGTATGCTATCAAAGAAAACCCATGATATAATTTTAAGAAGTTTATTGTAGGGGGGTGTGGGATGAGAGGAGAGAGTATAGGCAGAGATGACTAGAACTGGGAGACATTTGGGGGGGGCGGTGTGGAAACCTAGTGCAGTGGAACCTCCCTGAAATCTATGTGGGTGATTCCTAGTAATGGGGGATACGAAGCCTGCACTGTCCATCTTCTGTAACAAGGCAAGGCTTTCAGTGGTGGAACTGGGACATCAACCCAACCCCAAAATTTTCGACCTATAATCTGTCCTGCCTCCAAGATGTGCTGAAATAATGGTGGTGCAGAGCTTGTGGGAGTGGCCAACCAATGACTGGTCTAACTTGAGGCCCATAACACAAGAGAGAGTCCATACCCAACATTGCCTGATGGCCAGGAACCAGAGGCTGGATAGCCAAAAACGTAGGATAGAGTAAACACAACTAGCCAAGGGGGAGGGGGGAACACCAATTAAATGATTCCTAATGATATTCTGCTGTACTCATAGTACAAAGCCTAGTCCAATCATTGTCAGAGAGACTTCATCCAGCAACTGATGGGAGCAGATGCAGAGACCCACAGCCAAACATTAGGCAGTGAGCTTGGGAAACCCACACAGAAGAGGGAGCAAGGATCGTAGGAGCCAGAGTTGTCAAGGGCACTACAAGAACAAAGCCCACAGAATCAACTAAGCAGAACTCATAGGGGCTCACAGAGACTGAAGCGGCAGGAGCTTGCATGGGTCTGCATTAGATCCTCAGCATATATGTTATGGGTGTGTAGTTTGGTGTTCTTGTGGGACTCCCAACAGTGGCAATAGGGGGTGTCTCTGACTCTTTTGCCTCTTTTGGGGACCCTTTTCCTCCTATTGGGTTGCCTCCTCCAGCTTCGATACGAGGGTTTGTGCCAAATCTTATCGTAACTTGTCATGCTATGCTGTGCTCCGTTGATATCCCTGGGAGGCCTGCTCTTTTCTGGAGGGAAACAGAGAAGTGGCTCTGGGGCAGGGTAGAGGGTGGGGGAGGGAACTAGGAGGCAGGCGTGGAGGGAAGGGAAACTGCAGTTGGGGTGTATCGTATGAGATATGAATAAGTAAGAGAAAGAAACTTATCGTAGAAGAAGCAGATTCCTCTTCCAGAAGTATTGTGGTAGCAATCTGCTTGAGAGCAAGCAGTGAGTAGTCGCTAATAACAGCTCTGCATGGCCAGATACAGGGGCAAAGGGGTGGGGTGGTACAGCACACACAGAGTAAGTTTCTCTCTATGTAATTTATTCTAGGGACGGAGTGGCATAGACTGTCCCTGTCTCTAGCTATGTTAGCAATGTTAGAGCTCTAAGCTCTGTGCATTAGCAGGGTGATAGCTTCGCATATCTTTGGAAGAACCACATATAGCAAAAGTCTACCAAGACAGTTAGGGCCAGTACTGTGTAGGAGGAAACAACAATATCCATGAATGTGCCACAGCAAAAAATACAGAAATCATATTTAATAATACATTTTCAGTTTGCTGAAAATGTTATCTCAATATGAAATCCATATAAAATTTACTGAATTTTTTTTTTATTTCCACACAAAATCTTCAAAATCCAGGGTGCACTGGATACGGCACAGCTAAGTCACATTCCAAACACTGACTGTGACAAGTGGAGCGAGTGGCCCCTGGGCACCAAATGGGACAGCACACTAAACTGCGACAGTGCAATCGCTTCAGTCAACTTAAAAAAAATTCTCTTTCAGTGCTTCTAGCTAAGAGACCAGACTTTCTGCTTAACTAGAAGCCATAAAAGTCAATACTTTTAACTGTTTTTCCTACCTGTCCCCACAGAGGTTGAGGCCTAAAAATCGCCCAAATCTGAAACTTTTTGAATGCAGACATATTAACACAAGTAGACAATCTCACAGCTGACCTTAAGTAAGATGCCACAGTAAAACCACAGGAACACTAAAAATTTGTATGAAATTATCTTCTGATTTTGTGTATGAGGTTAAATGAATTTTCTGTTTAAAAATGGTTGTCACCCCTATGACATTTGATCATAAATATACAACTATCAGAGAATCTGGAAGTCTGAATGTATCCAAACACTTCTATTTCCAAGCATTTTGGACAAGGGATGCTCAGCTCTTACGTGCTTCTCTTCATGTTTGTGCTGTACAATAAACCCCATAAAATCAAGACATTTTTAATTCTAGTTTAATTTTTCTAGCAGGTGGAAAAACTCCAAGGAACAGCACATAAATCAAAAAGTGTGATATTTTTAGCCATGTAATAATGGGAATATGAGGACTCTATAACCCATCTTTATAAGTACCACCCATAAGTAGTTACACATACTAGTGTAAAAGAGTATTCTTAATAAGAATCAGAAAGACCCGATTCTTAAATATAGATTCAAACTTGGGTCAGGTGGAAAAGATGTTCCTGTAGGACTCTCCTAATTTGGAAGATACAGGTAGCTCTAAGACTGAGCACAAGGCTTTAGCACACTCTCCTACCTTAGGCTGCTTTCTGATGCTAGGACCCCATCATTGCTTTTTAAAAATCACTTACTTTAGATTAGGTCTAGTTGTAATGACTTTCTCTGTCTCTTTGAAATGTCAATTATTTTAAGACACTTGCCACTTTTAGCAAACAAGAATATCTTTTTTAAGGACCTAGATCTCTTTGAAATATCATGGAGGAAAGTGATGTCCTTGCCCTCAGTTTTTAGGAGAGGAAAGGAGTCTAGTTTTGATTGGCACCAACTATCAAATTCAAATGGCCTCATTACAGGGGGAAAGGTTGCAAACTAAGGAAAAACTGCATGTGCCTGCTCCATCCCCTGAGCAGCCTTCCTCCACAGTTCTTCATTTGCTCTCTCTGGTGCTGAAGAAAACCTGTGTTTCCATAGAGCAGATTCGGAACTCTCATCTCTGTCTCCTTTGGCTGTCGTTCCTCACGCAGCAATTTGTTTTTTGTTCTGACAGTCTAAAGGCTCTGAGTAGGTCTCTACCATCAACTCCAACTCCAGAATTCAGAGGATTAATACGTAACTTAGAACAATATATTAGTACCAATACTACTAGACACATAAAGATGGTCACTGGTCCAGGACAGTCATTTCCCCAAGCCCTGGTAAAAAGACTGGATACTCCATGTAATTAATAGTGGCCAGGGTTAACTGGAAAGTTATATTTTTAAAAAATTCTGTAGCCTTCAATCAACTTTAAAGTACATATTATACAAAGGAAGGCACTACTTTTACAATCAACAAAAGCTTCATCTACAGAGAACAGAAAGGAAGGAGATCCCTGTTCTTAAAGAAAGCTTTCTCTGGATTTACTGAATGTCTCATTTCTAAAATGGGGCCAAAGTAAAAGAAACCACATTTAAGAAACATAAAGGTGAAATCCCAACATAGAATCAAGTTGTACATCAAAACAAACAGAGAGCCATATTTCCGTTTACTCCTGATCTCTGCTTCCTCTCTGACTAAAAACAAAATGTTGAATTCTCTCTCAGAATAACCACATAAGAATAAATTAATCTACTGAGACCACACATGTGCTCGAGGTCAGAATGATTGCCAGCGCTTGTGATTGGGGCTATAACCACCAGATTAATGTCCAGGTCCCCTCTGATCACTTCTCTTAACAGAAAACAAGCAGGAGGCCAAATGCCCAGTTCTTACTATGAAACTTTAAAGCATCTCTACTTGTTTTAGAAATATGGATCAAAATTAAGATCTACTGCAGTAAACTACCCACTTTATGACAATATTGAACTATTTGTTGAACTATGTATAACAGAGTCTGCCCATCATAGACTACATGTACAATTGATGAATTACAGTGCAGCTACCACATCCCCTCAGCTACATGGGGTACACAACTGATCACCATACTCTTCAGAATTATTGTTCAGAATCATATTATTTATTCACTTCCACAGACACATCCATAATTGATTTTTATTAATCTGCACTCAATAATTAGATTCCTTAGCATTACACAAAAATTTTTGCTCATATGATGCTGTTTAGAAATGAGATATTGGATCACTAGTTGGGAATAAAAATGCAAGTCCCAGTTAGTTATCTGCATGATTACCTCTAGAATGTGAAGACACAGGAGGTGCCTGACAGACTCATGCTGTAACTTTTGCCAAGTCGGGATTGCAAAGGGAAACTGGGGAATTGCCTCGATTGCTTTTCCTTTTGAAGTAATTTACAAATGAGCACATAAACAAATCCATTTCTTCGCAGTACAAAAAATAAATTTTACAGAAAGCATCCAAGTTTTCAGCCCACATTTATTCCAAAGAGCTTCATCATTACATTCCCTTCACATACAACTCTTCACTTTAGATTAATCTGCTGAAATGAGATGCTAAGGATTTGCATACAGATTTGACTATACAAAAATAGATATGAAATTAATAACAGTCTCTATATGTTTTAATTTCTCCTGCTCTGGAGTACCCTTGCCTGCAGCAGTATTCCTGGCTTTGAAAGTCATCAAGCTGATTTGTCTGCTCTGGGTTATGATGCCACATGCTGCTGTACTGTCCCCTGCAATCAAAGCACTTGCAAAGATAGATTCCATGCCTTCTTCTATCGAGTATATTTTATAGATTGGCAGTTTGATCTCTCTCCCCCACCCCAGGAGGGATAATCTGCATCTTAACAGCTTTCCATAGATACAGCTGTCATTAAATATGCCATCTCATATCAGCATCCATTTTTTAAAACCAAGTTTTCTCTAACTTTGAAGTGTCATAGTCAAAGTTAAGACTTCTCAGCCAAAATTGAAAATGAGCAACCTTGCCTTATACTTTTGAACTGTACCTTAAAGATATACTGCAGGTTCCCCAAAGTCAAATAAGTCTTTAAAAACTGCCAGGAGGAATGAAAAGTTACTACC